GGAGTGCGCCCCTCCGCCTCCTCCCGCTGGAGACCGCGTTTCCCTGAATCCAAGATGCTTTGAATTTAAGGCGAACCCCTCCCACCCCCAGTAATTGGAGTCTACATAGGCAAAATGTATACATTTGATATGTGTACATGTGCCTGCCACCTCCAGGGAGGGAATCCTGCGGGATCAACACATGGAAGTCCGCCCCTCTGGGTCCATGAGTGTCTTTGTGAGCTGTGCTGAGGAGCTCTTCCATCTCCAGCTCCCTCTGTGCAAAAATGAAGTTTATTTCCTACCTATGGGGATTTTTTACCATCTTGTACCATCTACACTTTTCCCAGAGTCTGACCAAGGGACTTTGATCCCGAAAGCTTGCAGAAAAGGACAGTTTTCTTGCCATTTTCCAGTTGGTCTAATAAAAGGTATCATTTGGAACCAAGAGTTCTAGTTTTTTGCACGTACATTTGTTATAATTTTCTAGGTATAGACCCTAATTATCAGAGGGGCTTAAATTGGTCTCCCCCACTCTACAGGAGGGAAGCGGTGGCAGAGGGGCAGGTAGCTGGTAGGGGCAGGTGGCCCCCTTGCTATCTTCTAACATTCAAAACTTAGTCTGTTTTTGATCAATCGTATGCGCATGTTGTGACAGGCTGGGGCAGTGGTTCTCAACCTTTTTCAGCCACTTCTTCCCTGCCTGCCCCCTGGAGCACCTCCCCATGGTCTGCCACTAAGAGCAATGCTGTCGGGAGACTTGTCCTCCTGGGAGGGTCACCCATGGCTGTAAAGTCAAAGGTGAGGTGTCAAGTGAAGAGCAGTCCAACACAACACAAAGACCTCAGTGGTGAAGTAGGCAGATGAAAAAGTCTCCTCAATGGCTGCAAAGGCGGATGAAGGCTGCAGTGGAAGAGTAACCCCAGTTGTCTTGGATCTTCTTGCCACTGGATACAGGTTTCTCCACCAAGATCCAAGTGGTTGTCAGTGCACAATGGCCTCCTCATGTATAACACGACACGTGCAGGCTTCTCCCACTGGTCCAACATCTACTACCTTGACCTGTGGGAGTGGTCATCCTTGACTGAGGGGGATCACGGATGATGATGACAGCCCCTCTTAGCCTCTTTCCCCCCTGCCAGATCCCCACAGCCTCTGCCCTCTTTTCCCCCTCCTCCCCTTACTGCCAGGGGCTGCTTCAGCTCCATTCCTTCCCCGGCAGGAAGCACATGGAAGCACAACCCTGCGCAGCCATACAGCAGTGTCCTGGGGCTGGAGCGGGAAGGCTGCTGATTGTCCAGGTAGGGAAGGGAGCTTCCACATGCTCGGTGCTGCAGGTGGAAATGGAGCTAGAGCCGTACCTGACAGTAAGGGGCGGAGGAGGGGGCAGGCGTCTGCTGTGACTGGCCCCAACACAAGCTCTGAGCCAGAGTCCGAGCTGCAGCAGCTGCCTGTATATGTGAATCCAAAGTGGGCTTTTTTCTTTATGCTAAATGCAAGAGGGAGGAGAGAGGGGGCAAACCTCATCTCGGATCCAAGTAAACACCCTGGAACGTAATGAGACAATTTATGCCAATTTGGTATCTCCCCATCTCCTCAAAGGAAGGTCTGTTGCCCCTTTATACTCCCCTCTTCCCTTCCACCCAAGTTCCCATATGCAGCCAGTTCTCAAAAATAATACAGGCAGTTGTACTAATCTTGATTTCTTTTTTTAATCTTTTCCACTAACTACTTTACATTTGCAAATAACGATAGAAGATGTACCTACTAGCCAGGTGCAGTCTCTTTTCCTTTTTTTATTTTTCCCTGACCTGTGGTTATTTATTTGTATTTAAGAAGCAGGCATGATAATTGTATGACTTCATCTTAGCACCATACTAGAGTCTCTGAGTATTGCGCAGGCCAAGTGCATATCTGCTAAAGATTGGATCCCATGTTAGGCTCTATTGTATCATACCTAGTAAATGAAAGTTGTTTTCTAGAGCTCTTTCAGTTCACTATAATCATTTTTCTTCATAGGTAGAAAAGAAAGGAAGCTCCTAATTTTGTTTCTAGCTAAATTTCTCATAGAGTTTGCATATGTAGATTTATTAAAAGGACCTATTGAAGCACTTCAGTAAACTTTAGAAAAATAAGATTTGTCTCTATCAGTGTTAATGTCAACATTTTATCTTATAACATTCAAAACTTCATCTGTTTCTGATCATATGCACATGTTGTAACAGTCTGGGGCAACAGGTCTCAACCTTTTTAGGCCTAAGGCACCCCTCGGAACATGCCAGCTCTTAGTTTTCACCCGGTTTTTGACTACAGAAAAATAATAGAGCAATTCTTCTGTTGCAAAGAACTCAGAAAGCCCACAGCAGGTCAGATTGTTTGTAACAGTATGGATTCCTATTTGAAATCTCTGGGTTTATCTTGTGAATTATGTTTGTACACTTAATAGTGCTAACATTCTTTGGCATCCTACGATACCCCTGAAAGGCTCTCAAGGCAGCCTATGGCACCCTGGTTGAGAATCACTAATCTGGGGACTAGGCCTGTGTCCTGTTGTGAATTTATCTTTGTTTTATGACTAACATTTATAACTGTAGCTTTCAGCGTGAATTAAAACTTCCATTTGTAGTAGAAAATGAGATGTCTAGGGAATTGAAAGAGCCATCACAGTCTCACAGTACTGAGTAACTCTCCCTTGGTTTAACAGTAAAGTACGCACTGAACCACACACTTTTGAGCAAATCCTTGCTGGCAGTCTCATACAGGATTACAGCATGGAAAACCCCAGCAGGAAGATGGGAACAAAAAAAGGTGTCAGAAAGCTTTATAATCAACACACCTGTAGAAAGGCAAATACATTTCACTCCCAACCGCTCTCCAGGAGAAGTGGAGCTGGAAGATACTGACCTCTCTTGAGCACTTGGATAAAAGGCTGAGTTGTAAAAGGAGGTGACACCTGGCTATGAGGGGATTGCATATAGGAATGTGGTTCTCTTACATGATCCAAGAGGAAAGTGTATGTGTGTAAGAACTTACACAAGGCTTACACAGGCTTCCTTTGCACGCCTGTGTTCTTTTGGTCACATGGTTTCAGCATAACCAGGAGCATCCCAGAGGAGCGGACACAAAGGGAAGCATGGAGGACTCAGTAGGATTTAGGCAGTGACTTTAGGTCTAAGCAGCTGAACTGCAGGGTCCTGCCACCAAGGGAGGTATCAGCCACAGGTTCTGCAGCTAGGAAATGCTCCTGAGTGAATCCAGCTTTGGATTCAGTCATACCCAACTCCCAAAGAGCTTAGCGGCGTGTGGGGTCAGTACAGTGTGCTGGTGCTGGGGCTTGATGCCCATATTTCCAAAACAGTTTGCCAATCAGTCTATGTTTTCTCTCTTCTGAGTGACGTTTCTAGGCCCTGACCTTAGCTGTACCACTGGGGTCTGCTGACACCTTTCGTGTGTCTATGTTTGCTTCTACTCCAAAGTAGTGCTTGGCTATCTGAGTTGGTTATTGGTACAGTTGCATTAGGAATAAAAGCTCTTTGAGTGGAATGGGTGAGAGTGGGGGGCATGTGGGCACTGAACCCCAATAGCTAGTATTGCCATTGAACCACCAGTGGAAAGAGAGGATTATAGCTAGTTGTTCATATGGTATTTGTTTAATCTGCCCTAGGGAATCTCTTTAAATCAACCAAACAACATGTTTTGAAGGTCTCTCGGGAACATTATCATTTAGCTCTACAAGCAGTGGACCATGGCCTGGCCTTCCTTTTCTCATCTCCTTCATGCCACATGAGTTGCCTTCACTCACTGCTCTCCAGGAGTCTGTTTTTTCCTCATTTTAACAAAATATATATGGCTACTTTTTCTGCAGCCCTCAGCAAGCTCTCCAGGAAAGAAACTGTCTTAACATGCATCTCGGCTATAGGGTGAGCCCTACCAATTGTGCTTAACCAAAAATATATGTTCCAATTGCCCTTTGGCATAACACGTATCAAATAACCCAAAGAAAATGGTAGTTATGCTGTAGTCTTGCAAGGGAAATGTTATGGACTGAGCATTGAGAATATGTGACTACTAGATAGTCTTCCAAGAGAGCTTAAGCCTACCTCTGAATGAGTGGGAAGAAGGAAACATCTGCTGGATCACCTCCTACAGCTGCTCCCTGGTTCACTCCCACCCTGCCATGACCTATGGTGAATATTATTACATAAGATATAGAAGTCAGGAACTGAAAGATACTCATTATCAAAGTGCATTATGTGAACTGGCCAGCACAAGGGGAAGCACAATTGAAAAGGGGTATTTTTAGATAGCAATCACTGCAAAAAGAGCAATATATTGCAAAATGACCAAAAACCAGACTGGGAAACTGGCATAGTTGGCATGGAAGGAGGAGACAGTTTGTGTGTGTGTGTTTTGTGTGTGTGTGTGTGTGTGTGTGTGTGTGTGTGTGTGTGTGTACACATGCTCCCCCCCCCCCACACACACACACTTTGCATGTAATATTAACAGAATATATTAATGGTACATAATGCAGACTTTGTTTTAATGCTGTGGAATAGAGAGATGAGTTTAATATTTTTAATTGTTTCAGTAGCTTTGGTTGTTTGATTCTAGCAGTG